CTCCTTTCCTCCTTTCCTTTAGAACAGTTGCTCCTTCCTGTCTCACCACAACAGAGGGGTTTAGAGGTTGAGAGGGGAAAAGAGAGTTAAGTTAGTACGAAGAGGGAGGTAGCAGCTGAAATTTTTGGCTTGTTTGTGTCAACAGAGCTTCTAGAGTTTTGCTCCTCTGAAATAGGAGTCTCAGTAAAAATGCTCTTGAGCGGAACTGAGGCTGAGGTCCAGTTCAGGTTCTACCTTACCTTGGAAGTCTCTGATTTCCCAGACCTGCTGGGACTTCTCTTCCTCAGATCCCTGCTGCACTTAGAATCTGTACTGTTACCCCGGGTGTGTGGATCATCACCGTCCTGCAATTTTCGCTAATTGTTTTGTGTGTCTAGCATTGTTTTATAATCAGATTGCAAATTCTAGGCAGGTACAGGTACATGTTTATTTATTCTTTTATCTCCTCATGACACGTAGGATAGTATTGAAAGTATTGACCATAAGAGATACTCAGTAAATATCTCAATTGATATAAAAAAGGAAAAAATTGATGGGGAAAAATCAATTGGGGAAAAGTGGTGTTGAAATCTGGATCTGGATCTGTCACACTTTGCTGTGTGGTTTTGGGCAATTTGTCTAGTCTGGATCTCTTGTTCCTTCACTGGCGACACATGGGTGCTAGCCATTGCTAACTAACAGTCTTCAGCTAATTACCATGGGCCAAATCATTAATATACCCAACTATTCTATGAGTTTGTCTTTTTTTAGATTCCGCATATAAAAACATTTGACTTGTTAAAAGCGATTGGCAGTCTGCTGCTGGATGGAGTTAGGCGAACGCATGGCTAGTAAATGGGCGAGACCAGAAGCTTTTCTGGCCATGTCTTGACCTTGCAGAAGGGCTCCTGAAAACCAGCAGCCTGCAGAATGTTCACTGTTCACTTCCCCAATTGCCAGAGACTCATGGCCTGGGAGCTGAAAGCAATGAACATGAACAGAAGGAGGAAAGTACTTGTATGTTTATTCTCTTTCTCTCTTTTTTAATTCTCATTTTTAATTGATCTTAAAATCTTGCCTGGCCCTTCGCCCTCTGCACAGTGCAGAGTCATGAATCCTCAATACATGGCTCAAAAGAGAAGTACGGGACAGTGCATCCCCTTTCTCTCCACCTGCCTGTGTTTCCTGCCTGTGTTTCTATTCTGGGGCCAACGTACAGACCATTCCAGTTCCGAGATGGAGCAAGCCCGGCTCCACTTAGCGTCCCGTGTGTATAGCCTGCCTCCACTGTGAGCACCGTGTAGAAAGGACACATGTGATCTGTAGCTTTTAGTGCTTCTTACAGGGTGAGGGTGGAGATTCTTTTGCAACTAATTGTATCCATTGGTTTTTAAAAGGTGAAAGAAATTCCTGAACTTAGGTGTCGATTTCTGCATTAATTAAACTGATCTTAGTTGCAGCAGTATGGGCTTAATAGCTGCTTGCTGCAATACCCAAATCTGTGATATCAGAATGTGACGTGCATATTTTAATTTGAGAAATAGTTTAACATTTTTAGATATTCATTTAGATGTGGTTATGCAGGTTAAACATAACGTATGATCACTGCTTCTTTCATTGCTTCCAATTAAACCTTGCTTGTTAGTTTAACCTCTAGGTAATCCCATCAAACAATTGATGTCAAGGAAACACTGCCCACAGTAGCTTCGGATGAGTGGCCATTAATTTTAATTGCCTTGATATTAAAGATTAAGAAGTATTGGGACTAGCAGAATAGAAACGATCTGATGTCAAGCAAATCCACTTGCTAAAGCTTCCCCAGGCTGCTGGTGATATTAAAATTTTACTGTGAGAATTAAATAAACCTTTATTAGTGATGACTGTTGTTTGATTGGTCCAGGGGTATGCATAAACACAGGATTCTTGCATAGCTAGAGATGAGACCTTCAGTGGTACCCAGATTCCTCAATTATGAAACTGTTAATAAAGCTGTAATCTGATTTTCCAGGCTAGGTTTCATTAATGCATTATAGCTTCTCTGATTGTCAAGGTAATATTAACTACAAAGTACGGAATCCAGCAGAGAATTGTTTAGAAGAGGAGAATTCTAAGATGGGCCTTTGTTGCTAAATTCAGAGTTGGGGAATTTTCATTAATTATACTTAAGAAATGCCGAATTCCCTCTCAACCAGGACTATCTCCCTTTGCACCATAGATAGATAACATTCAATATTTAACTCTTTCGAAGGCCTGCCAGTCTTATTCAGATAAACTAGTGTGATATTATATGTTGAAGGAGCTTTTTGCAAACCAGCTCTGTAGGTCTGCCTCCTGAGCTGAGAATGTGCTTGTGAAACATGAGGTAGGGTCTAAGAGGACTTACTTTGACCGGCATAATCAGAGCGGATCCCTTTATGCTGCTTTTTTCAATCTTGAGTCAAAACTTTTGTTTTTAGAGTCGTATAATGGGAATGGGTCCTAATAGTCACTGAGGCTGACTTCTGGTGCAGGAATCCTTCCCAGAGCATCTGTCTCCATGTTCCTGGAGGCCTGGGCCCCACATTGACATCATCTCTGGCTTTTTCCTCTCCCCTTGACCTCTACAGCTGGCCCGTGGGCAAATTCTGCCAGTTCCTCCCCCATGATAGCTGCCCTCTCGCTAACTACTGCTCTACCTGGCCCAGGCCTCCACTGCCTTCTCACCTGTGCACTCCCCTGGCTCTTCCTCCCACCACCACATCCTATGCAATGATCATGTGCTCCTGCTGCAAGTACTCAGAGCTCAAAGAAGGGAGGGCAGAGAAGGCCAGTGACCTAGTGGGGTTCAGTCGCTCAAGGCTGTTTGAGAACCTTAATATTGTGACCGTCTGGGTGTTGGACCATTTAAGGCCAGTGATTGGAAGCGAGAGGGAACCAGATCTTGGTTCCGAATACAGAACTGTATATTCATTAGAATCGTCCAGTGGTGGAATCAGGGACTTTGTAAGGTAGGAAGTACCACATTTCAAGAGATGGAGATGCCCTGAACACAAAGGGAAAACAGAGAAGGAAAACAGAGAAAACAGAGAAGGAAAAAGAAAATACATGAATTCCATTTTAGACCTTTTGAGCTGGAGGCTGTGGCAGAACATTTTATATGTAAATGTCCTTAAAATATCAAGAACTGAAATTCTTTATAGAAGTTAGGGATAGAGATGGAAATCTGGGAGTCATCACACAGAGGCAGTGATTGAAATCATTAATATGGATAAGATAGCTCAAGGAGAAGAGAGAAGAGGGCCAAGAACTGAGTTTTAGGGAAGACACACACGCGCGCATGCACACACATGCATGCGCGCGCGCGCGCACACACACGCACACACACCCTGGTGTGTCAGATACTGCTGAAAGAGCAAACAAGGAAAGAGAAAAGGCCATGGGATTTGGGGCATGTGTTATGCCTGTGTAGCCACCTCAGTTGCCCTTCTAGCCCTGAGATTATTAAGATTGAATGAGAAAATGTATTCAGAGGGCTCTGCGTAATGCTTGGCACATAGGAGAGAGTCATTGAATGACAGTTACAACTAGTACTATTTGCTCTGAAGGAAGGAAGTGATACATACAGTCCTTAAGGCATGGGAGGGATAATAGTGGAACAGAAACAGCTAGGAAGTCCCGATCTGTCACATATTCACTTCCCGATGAGTTTTGGCTTGTTTCTGTCTGCTGAACCTATGCTCACAGTTGCCGCGTGGGTCCTCAGTAAGTGCGCCTGCCTTTGTATATGTGCACACGGTGATTCCCCAGTATGCGACAGCATGTGGGCAGCAGCAAGGCCAGCATTGTCTTCCTCCCGTGGCTTCCTTGCCAGAGTTCTCTGGCTTCTTCTGGAAGGATGAGTGCCACAGGTTGAAGAATGAGAGTTCTATTTCCAAAGCAATTAAAGACTTGGCAGAGATGGTCAGTAAGCATGCCCACTGGTGTAAATTGGGTTGGAGGGCTCTTGCCGCTCCTTATTTTTCCTCAGGGCCCCTGAATAGCTGTTCAGAATAAAACAGTGACCCACCCAGCCTAATACTACAGCAACATGCCCCTTTGACAGATTATTAAGAAGTTAATGAAGAGTATTTTTAAACTGTTACTTTGAGAAAAGGGAGGTCAGAACCTTTTATATAGCAGGTGGGTACCTTTTTATAAACTGCTGTGTGGGTTTTAGTTTCTTTACATAGCTCAGCTACAGGTGCCTGAACACGTCATGTAACTATGAGCAATGAGTCTCGGGCCAAAGTTTTGCTGTCAGTGAAATGTGATGAAATCTTCCTGTTGCCAAGTTCATCTTTGGAAATCTCTTCCACTTGCACGGGCTGACATCATAAGTACTTTGCCAAAGAAAGAAGTATATTCCACCTGATGAAATCAGCGCCGCTCCCCCGTATTTGCATTTGACCTTATTGGAATTACTTGAATTTTCAAGTTGTGACCTTCTCGTGTGTTAACTGGCGGTGCCTGAGCAGCCATCTTGGCAGATACACAGTGCCTTCTAAGACTGGAGACAAAGGGATTTTTCATCCATTATTAATTGATGTTACTCTTTTCAGCAGACCAAACATGATTCTACTGTCCAACTGCCAAAATCGTTCCAGAGCCAAAAAGAATAAGTCATCCCTTCACAAGTATTTATTATTTACCTAGCTTAACAAATGTTGCCTTTCATTTTTTCAGCTACTTTGGGGGTACTGATCGTTCATATACTAACTGGTGTATACCCACTGAATCCTTTCAGTGAACAGCGCTCCCATCCTTTTTAGCGTTACTGCAGTTAACTCCCAAGAAGGGGTATCTTTCCGAGAGTTTGCGAAAAGAGAAACCAAGCCCCTAGAACCATGATGCATTAGCCACAGGAGGCGATTAATTACACGCTAGGAATTGAGTGTCTCCCAAGGCATCCCCTTGGTATCCCAACAGTTATTCCTGGAAATTTGACTCTTTCCCCCCCACCTTTGACCTCTCTTCCCCTTCACTCGTGTCCTTGCAATTTGTAGGTATCCAACTGGTTTGGCAACAAACGAATCAGGTACAAGAAGAATATCGGCAAGTTTCAGGAAGAAGCCAACCTCTATGCGGCAAAGACAGCCGTGACCGCCGCGCACGCAGTAGCCGCAGCTGTGCAGAACAACCAGACCAATTCGCCCACCACGCCAAATTCTGGTGCGTACTGGGTGCTCGCTCCCGACTCGGCTCAGGCGGCCTTATGCCACAAAACCCTGTCCCGCAGGCCAGGAAACAAGAGCCAGACTGAGGACACAGTGAATTTATAATGGAAGATTTATATTAAAATCAGGGCTTATTCTTGGGATGGGTGAATGAGTGGATGGCCAGAGTCTGTAGACCCACTGTTCATAACGAGTGCCACTCGCTACTGGTAGATTCTGGAACCTTTACACTTAATAGTGGTTTTGAATCCAGCAACTATGCAAAGCGCTATCGCTAATAATTATTTTAACTGTATTGTCCCATGTATCATTTTAAGGTCCACAGTGGTCTGTCAGAGAATGAATGGAAGAGCCCGAGTGGGAAGTTTATCTGTTGCCGTGCATAATGAAGCTAGAATGTTGGGAGTAGAGCAGTGCTTTCTACTGAATCTAGCTGCAGACTACAGTCTGCTGTCCTTCTTAGCATTTCTTCAGCACCTGTGCCGACTTGGTAGGTAGTTAGCTGTGAGGGGTATAGTACTTGATACATGGATGCGTATCTGCAGTATCATGGTGCATTTTGGCTACATTTTATGTGACATTTGTGATGGAGTTAGAAACATCTAAAAATTACAAGGCACTTGAGTAACAGTGAAAGGTGTGTAGCTAGTTCAGTAGATGGACTCGAGATGTGATTCGAGGGCTTTTCTAAGCAGATCTTTTTAATATATGTTTAAAAGTTCAGAAAGTGAGGGATTTTTGTTTATTTGTTTTGTTGTCTTTCCCCTGCCCTCCTATCCCCTTTCTTGCCCCAACCTCCCCCACTCCAGCTCTTTTTAATGGAAACATAAACAGATGAAAGTTAGGTAGAAGGCATGGCTAAGAAAGAGCTTCGGAAAAACCTAATTGCCATGACAGTTCGTGATGACAAAGGGCTCATTTAATGACCAAGTCCTAGAGATAAATGAAAACAAGGGGGTGGTTCCAGACCAGCTGCTGGGTGTTTTTCTGTTTACTTTGATTTCCTCTTTGTTTCCTATTTGGGCTTCCCCACTGGTAAGACTTTCCTAGCTGCAAAATGAATCCCAGGACCTAACTCTTTGGAGTTATTCTCCATCTTCTTAGATCTGGAAATGCTTTATGTTGTACACGACCTTTCCCTTCTGCACCTTTTCTCCTTTCCCTGCCTCTACGTCTTTGAGGATTATGTGTGTAGCTCTCTGTTATTCAGCTACTTAACTCTTTCCTTTCCAGGTTCTTCTGGTTCTTTTAACCTCCCAAATTCTGGGGACATGTTCATGAACATGCAGAGTCTGAATGGGGATTCTTACCAAGGGTCCCAAGTCGGAGCCAATGTGCAATCACAGGTAGGAGAAATGCCCCAACTGGGGCCTTTCTAGCAGGGTAGGGTTTGGGCTCAAAACTCCATGCTCTTACCCCATGGAAGTGGTCTGCACCTCCGTGCAGACCCTGTGCTGGGTGCTTCCAAACATGACCCATCTGCCCCACCGTTTAATTTAATGAGAATTCAAGTGAACAGTGACTTTGGAAGATTCAAACCTGATGAACTTTGTGAATGCATTCGGCTCTGGCTTGAGCTCATGGACAGGGTTGGGTGCATCTTACTTTTGTAACAAAACAAAACAAAAATCGTGTGTGCCAGTGTGTGCGTATGGTTCAAGAACATGTGCGTGTGTTTCCTTTCCGGATTTTTAAAAGTCAGAATCAAAAAAACCTGAGTGCTTAAAGTATATTCCAGGTTCAACTCTTTTCTCGTCCTCTTAACTGAGAACAACCACTTGTATTTATGCATGTAGGTGCGTGCGTACGTGTGTGTGAGAGGGAGAGATCCCGTATACATATTTATAAGTAGTGTTCACCCATAGCCACACACATTTCGTTGACGTAGGTGGGAAGTGTGCATTGCCATGAAGATGTTATTGTTTGGCTGGCATGAAAAACAAAGATGTGTGAGTTTAAATATGCAAAGAATTGTTGAAATTCTGCCAGTCACATTTGATTGATCAATTTGTCTCTCACTGAAGATGCTAAACCCTTGTGGCACACATAATTCAAATTGTTTCCTTTTGTAAATGATGATGTTTTAATAGATTTGGGATGATGAATTCTGTTTCGTCTCACTTCTAGGTGGATACCCTCCGTCATGTTATCAATCAGACGGGAGGCTACAGTGATGGCCTTGGAGGAAACTCACTGTACAGTCCACATAACCTAAATGTGAGTACTCTGGGGAACCAGATTCGAAGAGCTGTAGGAACAGCGTCAGGTAAACAGTGGCTGATAAATAAATTAATGGCCATTTGACTTGGCCTCTCACCTTGTTGGCAGGTGGGGAAGGCGGCGTTTTTACCGCACTTTGTTTTATGAACCTAAACGCTTGATGTCTCCCAGATGCCCTTAGAAGTCCTCACAGATGGGGCACCTGGGTGGCTCAGTCGGTTGAGCGTCCGGCTTCGGCTCAGGTCACGATCTTGCGGTTTGTGAGTTCGAGCCCCGCGTCGGGTTCTGGGCTGACGGCTCAGGGCCAGGAGCCCATTTCAGATTCTGTGTCTCCCTCTCTCTCTCCCCGTCCCCCGCTCACGCTCTGTTGTCTCTCTCTCTCAAAAATGAACAAGCGTGAAAAAAATTTTTATGAAAATAAAGAAAAGAAGTCCTCACAGGTACCCAGGAGTGGCCGGCATTCTGTCATCAATAGGGACTCGAGCATCAGCCCATTAAGACGCCGTCTCCTACTGGCTGTGCTGTGTCCCAGGGAAATGGATAAAACAGGTCATTTATCTATCTTAGAATCAAGCAGTAGGAAACATTCCCAAACACATCTCAAGTGAAGGGAACAGCCTTGGAGGGCCCCAGACAGATCAACAGACCAAGCTAAACAAAGAATTCCATTCTGAAGAGTGAGTTGGCTGCATTGTCAACGTGGAATGCAACACGTGTTCGGCACTTTTCAGCCTCTCAAAAAAATTTTTTTTAATTATGGAGGAAATAATTTTAACTTTTGTAACCAATTCACCAAAACTTTACTTTTACCCCACACTGACATGGATGGAACAGGGCAAAACGCCTCAGCTCCGGAAAGGGAGCCTGGGGAGGGGAGGATTAGGCCATCAGGGTAGAGCTGGGGAGACGCGTGGTGGAGGGAATCTGGGATTCTAGGCTCAAGGAGGAAATGAACTGCCCAAAGCGTGGTGGTAGAATCAGGAGGAAAGTGGACAAATTTCTCCCTTTCTAGGGCCTTGGCTTGCTAGGAGAGTAAATATTAATGATTGCAAAAGTGATTGAGGATGTTCAATTGTAAAGGGAAGAAAGGACCATTAAATACTCAAATCTTTTACATTTGAAATGTCAAATCTTTCTTTTTGGGTTTATAAATAACTCATAATAACCCACAACAAACCATATAAAAAGCCTTTTAGTTGCATTTCTCCTTTTTCATTTAAGTGTTTTGAAATGCTTCAGAGAATGTGCGATATCCTTATCAACATGATAAAATATGAAACCGTGATTGCCTGCAGCATTTTACAGACATGAATTCCATCTTCACTGATGAGGCTTGATAAGGCGCTGTTGTATAATACAGTGCATAATCTCAAACCACCAGAGTAAGGATTAATTTATTTTGAAAAAAAGAATGCTTGCTGACAACCTCTCCTCCAGCTGCCACGCTGGGTAAAAATATTGTACATTTGTTGTTTATAAATGTGGATAAAGGAGGAATGATGTTTACTTCAGATGGAATATCTTTAGACTTGTATCTGTGTACGAGTTTTTCTTCTCCTAAGTAGATTTTCATACCTGAGGGGTAAAAACAGCTTACCGTTCAGGTAGAGAGGGTTTCTCAGAGGCCCACAAACGCACACGAGCACGTCACTGCCCAGCTGCGCGCCGGACGCTCGGAAAATCCATCGCCGTAGCATTGTCTTCTTCCTCCGGAGTTGTCTTCCTTTCTTCTTCCAGAATTTGATCTGCCTCAAGCCTGGAAGATCCTTGTCCCTTCGGCTCTGGTCATCTCTGTGGGGTTGTTTGGTCCCCCCCCCCCCCCCCCCCCCCCCCCGCCCCACCCTCTTTCTCTTGGTCCTGGAGGGAGGAAAGGTACTTTATGTGCAGAACTATGCAGTCGGTCAAAAGACAGGGCGCTAAGAACAGCAGCTGTGGGAGAAGGGAAAGCGGCCGGCACAGAGCTCGTCTAACAGCCGGACCCAGGCTGCGCGGAGGCTCTAGACGGAGTTCTCAGTAGCCTGGTGGCACAGGCCTCAAAGAAGACATTGTAGATGGACTCGCAGAAGTTGCAGATGGATGTGAAGGAGGCAGGGGGACCTCATGTCCCACAGTGACACTGGCGCGGGAGGCCCAGGTCCGCGGGCAGCGGAGCGCGAGGCTGGTCTGAGCCGCAGGCGCTGGGTGTCAGCCAGCTCACCCTCGCCCTCTCTCCGGAAAGGCCCGCCCCGTCACTTCCACTCAGTGTTCCCCAAGTCGCAAGCCCAGCACCTCCCTCTTCTTGACTGACATAAAAATATGTAGCGACAAGCTGTCTGCCACAGCAGAAATCTGATCAGACATTGATTTCAGCAATTGCCTCTATAGGCCAAGACACAAGGCAAATTTGTTTCTGAGTACTGTTATTGCCGATGCAGGTCGAGGCAGGAAGGGCCAGCGGCGTGTGAAAAGCAGTAGCAACATCCCAAATAGGAGCCCCAGTTAGAGATAATTGGAATACAGATTTGAATAGTGTGCTCCTCCACAGTTCATGCATTTTCATTCCGGAAGATCCCATTTGGAAGGAAATTCTGGCCTTCATTTTCCCAGGGTTACAGTAGCTGGCTGTCGAGCGGGTATGGAACGAGGGCGGGCCACTTCTCTATGGAAACGAGGACCAGGCTGGGCTGACGTTTACACCTCATGGAGCCGGAGGTCTTGCCGAGGCATTGCACTCAGCCTCTCCACCGCTCCCTCCTGAAAAGGTTTCTTTCCGAGTCACTTTCTTTTTACAGCAAATCAAAGGCCGAGCTGCATGCCAGCCTGAGACTAGCCGAGGCCCTCCTTCAGCGCGCTGATTTATGGCCAAGTCTTTACTTGGTGGGATGGATTTGTTTTACATGCATTTAATCCCACTTTAACACATGCTTCAAACTCCTGCCAAAGTGGGTTTAGAAAATACATTTTGCTAATGTATCTTTGCTCTCATGTTGTCATCTGGGTATTTTAAATCGGGGAGGAGAATTAATATGTAGACGTGCACCCGTTGAACTGTGTTTCTCCTTTCAGGCTAATGGAGGCTGGCAGGACGCAACAACTCCATCTTCTGTGACTTCCCCTACAGAAGGCCCGGGAAGTGTGCACTCTGATACCTCTAACTAATCTCTGGCAACACTTTTCCCTGAGCTGACATGCCTTGCTAAGTGCATTCAGAGCAATAGGAGGAAAAGGAAAGCGTTTTGTAGCCCACCATCTACAGCTTTACTGTAAAACCTTGTCTTATTAGAGAACTTGGTAAATCAGTTTTTTAAAGGAATCATAATCATTTGTATTTATACTTAAAAACACACAATGTTAAAAAAGCACTTTATCCAATTAGGCCAAGATTTAACATTGTTGACAGTCCTGTAGCTATTTTATCATAATTTATTATCAATATTTTACATTAATGGTTTCACAGTTGCCAATTACTTGGCCTTAAGGGTAAAAAGTACAATATATGCTAAACCTCAATCGTTAGAGCAGATGCAAAGATTCACCTCACCTAAATTGAATTTCTTGCATTTTTCCATCGCGGACTTTGATTGTCTTTCTTTCATATCGCTAATGGGGTTGGAATAAAGGAGCTGTTTGGCTATCTCTGTTAACGATGGTTTGTTTAAGAATCTTCCTTGTCACGTTTGCGTTTCGATCTCTTACGTTATAATTAGATCAGAGACTGGTAGCATCTTTTCTCTCTCTGGAAGCACCAGTGCCCAGAGTCTGCTCGGTAATTAAATTCTGGATCCAGATTGTTCTGAGAGATGAAGATCCTTGCTGCTGATAGAGGTGAACACGAGATCCGTCTGGGGCTGTACGGCGTGCACTGGGTGCTGCACAGGCTTGTCAAGGTTTGCTACGTCCTCTGGGCATCCACAAAGGCCCTGCTCTCTGGAGTGTTGTATATAGTGTAGCAAAAGAGTATTTATACATCTCACCAATCAAAACACAGCTTTATTACCTCATGCGAACTCATACAAACCAATAGAATTTCCACATGTTCTGTAGCTTAGAGTGTGCTCACTTACTACCTCTGAACAATACTCACGCTGTAGTTCGTCTCTTTCTTACCTTTTTGCATCTTGTAATTAACTCTTTGTTTCCCTTCACAAAATGTAATGTACATTGTAATCTTTTAAAAGAAAAATCAGGGTTGCATTTGCAACTTTTAAAAAACCAAGAGTGGAAACATCGGGTCTTCAATTAACACAGGATCAGTAAAACCGTTGTAAATACCGAGAAAGCATTTTGAATGTTCTTCATCTTGTTACTAATCCATGCAAAAAAAAAAAGAAAAAAAAAAGGCGGCTAATTGTGATGCATTCAGATTTCAGTATTCAGTACTGTATATTTCACCCTGTGTAATGGGGCCCCTCCCTCTCCTTTCTCTCTTTTTGTATTGTATGCGATTCTGAAACTGATTGAGTCATGAAAATAATTTGTGGCGGTGATTCTAATGTATTAAAAATGTTTCGTGTTCCTTTCTAACTGGATTACACCCTGGATTGAAAAAGTCTTCCTCGTGGTAGCTATATGTAGTTTCAAACATGAATAAACTTTTTGCTTTCATGATTAAATGGTGCCGTTTCTGACTCCACCACGTGAGCCGGCCAGGGCCAGCAAAGCAGAAAGCCTGCCCGGAGGCAGGCTCGGGCCGGGAAAGGTGTGGCCCTACACAGAGGGACTTTGAAATGACCGTGAAGCAGGGAGTGGAGGAACAGCCCCTGCCGACTGACTGCTCTCTCTCGGTGCGGGCTCCTGGCTAGCTCCTGGACCGTCCCTATGCATCCTCCTAGATCCCTGTGTTCTAAGAGCACCCAAAGGAAGGTATTGTCCCCACTGGCAGAGATTAGGAAAGCACAGCTCATGAAAGTTAAGCCAGTGCCACAAGGTCACAGACCTGGGACAACAAGGTCTGCGTTTTGCACCCAGGTCTCTTCTGCCCTTGGAGCTCACACTCCCCTGACCTAATGATGCCCCTGGCGCTTGTTAGATGGAAAGACCATTTCTGTAGTTTTTGTTGTTTGTTTGTTTGTTTGTTTGTTTTAGAGACAGAGAGAGACAGTGCAAGGTGGGGGAAGGGGTGGGCGGTCGGGGCAGCAGGGAGAGAGAGGGAAAGAGAGAATCCCAAGCAGGCTCCACGCTCCGCACGGAGCCCCACACGGGGCTCGATCCCACAAACCTGGGATTGTGAGTGACCTGAGCCGAAATTAAGAGTCAGATGCTCAGTCAACTGAGCCACCCAGTAGCCCCCTTTTCTTATAATTAAAAAACAAAACAAAACAAAACCAGTCTGGTCACCTTCACCACTTATTTTCGTAGCTTCTGTGAGATACCAGCCAAGAACAAACAACAATTTGTCTGAAAAGAGTGAGCCTTGGATTGCCATTGAAAAAAAAACCCCAAAAGCCCACAACCTCTCTTAACGCACCCTTTAGAACTCTAAATTTGTAAAATGTTAGATCCACGAGAAATCCCTTCATTAGACTACACGTTATTTTTGTTTTATTAAAATCGGAATTCCGTATGTTTACATACCCATCTGTCGCTCAGACCTAAATCTTTGCAATAAAAGAAGTGGGGAGCAGGTAATTGGGCTGTTTACTATATCTCAAGGAAATTGACTCACAGGAAATCAGATTAATGTTAATCAGTCGCGGCAAATTGTCTGTGATAAATACAACTTTTACTATTTCAGTTGCCAGAGCCAGGCAACACAAGGTCTAGGGCCACCGTTCCCATTAATCTTGAGGTGGTTATTCTGTGAGAGTAAACTTTATAAAACAGATCGCCCTCCAAAGCTGTCCTCCCTCACGTGGCCTCTCAGCCTGCCTGTCGGCATCTCTCCCATGGCTAAGTAGTTATTTGCATGATTCGATTAGCTTATGGGTCAGCCTTTCTTATCTTGGAACATAAAAACAACCTCTATGCTATGTGGTTTTGCAAGAATATCCCGTGGAAACGTGACGCACACGTGCACACAAATACATCCTCTTTAATATCCAGAAACGCACCCTGCCCGAGAAGCCTCCCAGCTTTTTACCGCAGGCCAGTCTGTTGAGAGAGACCTATCCCAGTGTTTCCTGGAGAGGCACAGTCTGGCGCGCCACCCTTGAGGGAAATGCGTGAGTCTGAGGCTTTAGTCGGAGGAAGCCTAAATAAAAACACCGGTTCCTTTTCTACGTGCCGGATGTTGAGCCTGTGCGTGTTTTCCGCCTTTCCCGCCTCTCTGCAGAAGCATCCTCCGTTCATAGGTCAGGAAACTGGGCCACAGCACGGGCTCTAAGTCTCTCAGGTTTCACCCCAAATTGGGTGAGACAGGGCTTTTCATCAAGTTCCTTTTCTTGGTCAAGCAGTGGGTTCGGGGTCAGACCTAGAGGTGAATGAAATCAGGCCCCAGCCCTTGAGAAGCCAAGATCCCAGACCCCGTCCTCGTTCAGATAGCAAGCGCTTGTGAGGGTATTGGAAAGGTTGGCAGGCTTCTGAACCCCAAGAGTGGAGAAGTGAGGACCTCGCAGCCCCTTCACAAGATCAGAGGAAAGAACACCCGGTCACAGGCGAAGGGGCCTGTCCATGCATCTCGTTAGATGCACGGGGACCCGTGTGTGCTCCGCGAGTACATGTATGTTCACGAGTTTCTGCAGCCCACCTGCCCGAGCAGGGATCAGTCGTGTGCGTGGCTGTGCACAAGCAGTGGGGCCTTGCGAACTAGGTTAGAAATTCCCTGTGACCCCAAACTTCCCTGGCCGCAAGTGCGGGGGTCGGGGGGAGAGAGGCTGTGTTCCAGAGTAGTGCCCTCCCCGTGTGGACAAAGTGACACGGATGTCTCCCACGCAGGGTGGTGTTTTAGTGTGAGCTGTGTGTTGTGCCGTGAGAAAGGGGCCTTTGCGGGGCTGACCGCCACGGCGTTTCAGGCATCTCCTGTGGACCAGCCCTCGGCCAGGTGCTTTCTGTACGGTGTCTTATTCAATGCCCACAGAGCCCCACGTGATGGGGAATCTGACTCGCCAAGAGGTGAACACCACCTGTCCGGGATCTCCCACAGAGCTGAGGTCGTCCTGAGAAGGCCCCTGGGGCCCCCTCGCAGCAGCCGCTCGTAGTGGGGTGGAGACAGGCCCCTGTGAGCTTGGGCCACCAGCCTGCAGAGTGAGGCCCTTCTGGGGGACGAGGTGAGTCCTCTATCTCCAGCCCTCAGAGCTTGCGACTCTCCCACTCCAGGCCCCCGTTGCCTGGGCCACCTGAGCATGTGTGTCCTGTGGTGTGTACAAGATGTACGTCCCAGACCGTCTGCGGTCCTATCTGCGTCTTTGGGTCAGAGGGTTGGGGATGAGGGACAGGAAGAGCCATGTGCTTTGTTGGGCTCGGCTGGGCCTGGCACCATAACTGACGGAGGCAAGCAGACCCGGGAGGGTAGCCGTCATGATGAATGAGAAGTGCTGAGCACAGGGCCTGGGGCACACATCCTGCATGTATTTTGTGACGGGCAGAGTCGCGCCTGTGTCCCGTGGGTGACTGCAGGTCCCAGGCGCTGTCCAGCTCAGGCCCAGCCCCTGGCCCCCTCGCCCACTGCCCACGCGGCCATTCGATGTGAGCGGATCTCCAACTCCACCCCGGGCATGGGCTTGATTCCCGGCTCTGCCCCCTGCCAGTTGTGTGGCCTCAGATGAGAGCCTTTACCTTTTGAGCCTCGGTTTCCTCATTCTCTCTTCTTGGAACATTGTTCCGTACCGTGCCTCCCCGGTGAATGCCCATCCTTTAAGGCTGAGCCCAGACCTCTGTGTCCTCCTATAGAGCCAGGCTCTGCACCCCCTACTGGACGTCCAGGCAGGGACCCAAGGAAGAGAGGATTAGGAGGACAGTGCGCAGGGACGGGTGGACCAGGCAAGGGGAAGGTCATATGCAGAGACCGGGGGGCATGGCGAGCGGAATGGTCAGAGACGCCATGGCGATGTTTGCTCTCTCCCTTCCCGGGCTCACTCCCCGGACCCTCACAGCAGCCTCATGAGGGAGTTCTATTATCACCTCCACTTTACAGATAAGGAAACCGAAGCCACTTGGCCAAATACACACGGAGCCAGAACAGGAGTCTGGGTGTGTCTGAAGCCAAAACCCATATTTTTCAC